AAATGGCAAGGATTTGGATGGGCTAATTCCGTCTCAAAAACTTATTTCTTCAGCAATATACGCAATAGGCAGGGAGAAATCCCCTCCAAATCCGAGACAAAACCAGTCTGACATAATAATTACTGACCGCACAGAGTTTCAGACGACTTTTCAGTTTGGCACGGCAAATTCCGTGCCTCGTCCTTCTCAAATTTGAAATTTATTATCCCCGCCGGTCTCTTCTTGTTTTGTGCGCAATTGGGACGGATATATCCGACCCATAGCGTCTCCAAACGGGAAGATTAATCAGGATTAATCTAGAACGTCCTTGGCATTGAAGTTGGGACGGAAAGTGCCGTGCCTTTTCAAATTCAAATTAATTTACCCCCACCGATTTTTTGATTTTCGAAGCGCTTTAGGGACGGATTTATCTGTCGCATGTCGGCGCCAACACTGCCCACATATGCGAAATATCTAGAACGGGTGTGGCTCTGATTGTGCGACGGATATGGCCGCGCCAAACATCGAGGTATATAAACTTCCCTTTGCCGATTTCGTCCAAACCCTAGCCCATTTGTTCAGCCTCCCCTCTCCGCCTCTGCTTCTTCCGCTGAGTACGAACTCCGGCCACCACTTACCCTTCCTTCCCCTCCACTTCCACCACGTAGTCCGGCCACTATTTACTTACCCCCCATCTCCCACCACGAAGTCCGGTCACCACTGACTCTGCTTCACCACTTACTCAGTCCACCACATACTCCGGCCACATCATAGTCCGTCCAGCACGACGCTTTCACCGACGACGCTTGGCGCTAAGGAAGCCGCCTCCCCCTCCCGCATGCCGTGTTTCTAGCCATCTCCGGCCACGACGACGTTTGTTACTCCCTCACCGGCCTTCGTCTTCGCTCTGCATCCAGGTCATGTCCCATTAAGTACTCCTTGTTTACGGATTTTCATATAAATTTTATTTAAACGTATTGTTATTTTAAGTTTAATATAAAGTCGTTATTTTAAAACATTATTTTCAAAAAAAATAGTTTGTAAATGATTTGTTATAAACTATTTATGAATTATTATCATCTATATAAATTTATGACAAAATGATTTCTATAGTATTAAAGAGTTTTTTTTTTTAATTTTGAAACGAAGTATTATTAGCAATAGAAATTATAACAGTTGTATTTATAATTACGAACAAAGTAATATATATTTTTGTTCATATATTTTTTGTTTGTATATTTTTTTTAATTAGAAGCGAGCTATTATAATAAACTGAAAAATATGAAGGCCGCCTGTTATGAAGTATTTATAAATTTATATGAAAGAAGTGTTTATAAATTAATATTATGAACGAAGTAGAATAAATATGAATGTGATATTTATATATATTATAAATTTGTATTATAAACGAGGTGGTAGTTATGAAGTATTGTAATCATCTTGTCCATACAGTATCATAAACTTCGTTTTTATTAACAAAGTATATAAATACCAAACTCTTATATACCTCTGAGTGCCAAACTCTGAAATTAACCATAAATAATGTTAAACCAATTATATAATTATGAAAGCTGTAAAACTGATATACATTATGTGGAATTTTAACTTGGTAATTAATCTGGCAGTTTGACAATCTGTGTATTACTTCCTTATATAACTAGGTATAACAATCTGTTTATATTATTAAATCTTTACTTCTATTTTGTATGCATTTGATTATAGCCTAACTGTTTCAGTTTTTATAAAATTGCTCAACTGTTTCACGAGGTATAACAATCTGTTTATATTATTAAATCTTTACTTCTATTTTGTATGCATTTGGTTATAGCCTAACTGTTTCACTAGTCTGTTTTTATAAAATTGCTATGTGTTTCAATAGAATGTCTGTCCGTAGAGGTTCATTCAGTTCCTTTACCTCCTCCCGCGGAGGTCGGGGAGGTGGAGGGAGCCCAGTCATGAACCGCCTTGAGCAGAACTATCCTCCAGCTGATTCACATGAGTCTGTCCAATCCCGACACCTTTCTGATGAACATACAAATGGTTCTGATTCTGCTACCCCCAATGATTCTGTTCAGACAAAGACCTTCATTTCACCCTTTGAAATGAGAAGGTTTAGTAATACTGCCTAATGTAATTGTACATAGAATATTTCTTCATATACATTATTTTTGTTTGGTTTTATGATACAGCAACCCTACTGTCCTGAACAACATCATTTCAATCCTGACTAACAATTTCCACGGTCCATGGCGTTCTTTTATGAATGCGGATGCTGATCAACGAAACCGTTGGTGGAAACTGTTTCAGGTATGTTATAGGTTCTTATTGTGTAAGCACTGTCATTTTAGATTGATTGTAGACAGTTCGAGAGTTCTGATGTTGCTCATTTTTTTGTTTTGTTTATTCAGAGGAAGTATGAGTGGGATGCCTGCTTTAATACCAAAATGAAAAAGAAGTTCAAGTCTCGGGCCTCTGAATGGTTGAGCAAGAACATTGGTAGGGCTAGGCGGGACAACAAGAAGCCTGACTGGATTGGTGACGGAGATTGGAAGTTGTTGCAAGAGTATTGGGCCTCTGATGCTTTTAAGAAGAAGAGCCAAGTTGGGAAGAAGAACCGAAACTCTAAAGCGGGAAAAGAATCACAGTATCGCGGTGGCAGGATACCGGTGACGAAGCATGTTGAAAGGCTGGTAAGTTTCTGTTATTATTTTGAATTATAATTCAATGATCATTGTTTTTACTTTTAATCATATTTTTTACTTATAAATCTGTAGACTAAGCAGTTGAATAGGGCTCCGTTGAAGATCGAAGTGTTCGATAAGGTGTATGTCCCGAAGTCGGGTGACCCCCCACCACGTGTTGTTGAAACAAAGGTAAAGAAACATATACTTTTGTTATATGTTTTAATTATAATGTTATTATAGAAGAAATATATTTTAACAATAATTTTCTGTTTGTGCAGCAAAAGTATAGTCAAATGAAGGCGCTGGCTGAATCACAAGGGAAGTCTTATGATGAGGATGACTCCGAGCTGTTCTGTAAGGTGGTCCCGCTGTACAAAGGCAGGCGGTTTGGGACGGGATCTGAAGCCGAGTCGATGGAAGACGTTGAATGCTCCAGCAGAATATCGGGGCCGACTCAGCAGGAAATAGATTCCCGCATCAAGGACCAGCTGGAGGCCCGATTTGTGCAGCAGGAGAAGCAGTGGCAAAGCCAGATGGAGAAGATGACTTCCGTGTTTACGACGTACATGGAACAAGTCCGTAGCTTGAACCCTAATGTCCCGATGCCAGATTTCTCGCCTTTTCGTACCCCGACCTCTACCCAAATGAATCTCAATGATACTCTTGAAGTGCGGCTGGAAGACATCTTTGTGTAATGAACAAACACTTTTAATTTTATTGCATGTTCTGGACATCTTCTGGCAATTTGTTTGCCATTTTGACATCTTATTCGGCAGTGGTTTATCTGCCTGTACTGCTGTAATAATTTTACGTTTTCTTGTTATATATGCCTTTTAATTTGCTCTATATTGCTTGTGATGTTCGTATGTCTATGCTTCTGTTTTAATGTTATGCTGCTTATAACAATTTTAATTTTAAAAAAATGTACACCGTACATATGTACGGTATCCCGTACATATGTACGGTGTACATTTTTTTTATAAATTAAAATTTGGCACGGAGTTAGCCGTATCAAGAATCCTCTCAAAATATCTAAATTGCAGTGTCATAATTTGGCTCGAGAGTTTCCGTGCCAAAATACCCGGGTAAAAATTCGGGTGACCCGGTAGATGACGAGCCAATATCCGTGCCTATTGAAATCCGAGCCAAAATGGTTGTGAATTATCAGGTAGGTTAGCCCGGATTATTCCGTGTCTAAATCCGCGACAAGCCTTGGCTCGGATGCAATTAGCCGCGCCAAACCATTTGGCACGAGCCAGGTGGGACGGATTTCGTTTCCGTGCCAAATCCGAGCCAACAGCGCTATTCTGGGATTTCAATGAAGCTCTCCGTGCCAAAATCCGACCCTCTGGCGATTTTTTTTGGTAGTGTATGTATGGAAATTAACATGTATGTAGAATTGTCCACAAATGCGTTGTAGTTATGTATTGATGGGGAATGGTAGTTGTCGGGTGGACCGGTGGAGTACATATGGTTTTTCCGTTTTAATACTACATTTGAGTAGATTTAAGGTTCTAATTTCTTTTTTTTAAATTATTAGGAGCTCTTTCCACGGAAAGGAAGGTGTCTCGTGCTTTCAAGTGATAAATTAAACCACAATGGCCTTTTTGGATCAATCTTAATCCGTGAAATGATGTATTCCCTCCGTAACTTAAAAATCTTCCCACTTTCCTTTTTCGTCCGTAACACAAAAATCTTCTCATTTCTAAATCTTCCCATCATACCCTCAATAATTCTTAAAATAATACACTATTACAACTACTTTTTTTGGATTTATCCTACATTCCACCACATTATTCCACTATTTTCCCATCATACCCTCAATAATTCATATCATCTTTCACTATTCTTAATCTACCTACTTTTGAAATGGGAAGATTTTAAAGATACGGAGGGAGTATTACATTACAAGATATTGGACATTATTCCCACAGATGGTGCGTCGAAAAACTAGTATATATTTCCTCCGTTCTTAAGTAAATGTAACGGTCAACATTTCACACTTGTCGAGATATAACTTTAACCATTAATATATATAAATTTATATTAGGAAAAAAATTAAAAAAATTATACTCGGTATATTGAAAATTTACAATGAGACAAATTTAACAATATTTTTTTCCATAAAAATATATTCATACATTAATAAATAAAACGTAGTCAAAGTAGAACATATGAATAGTGTAAAATTTCATATGTTGCATTTATTTAAGAAGGGAAATAGTATAAAGGACGTGCATACTCAAATAGTCAAATGTATAAAGGAAAACGCATAACCCAACAGACACCAAGGCACACGTACCGGCCAAGGCCAACTCCATATGATTTACGTACTTATAATAATTAATTAAGGATAAAAGCAAAACAATTGCATGAGGAAAAAACGCAACACAATAGACAGTGACGTAAGAGTGTAGGGCACAGTCGCACCTACTATACTCCATCGCATGATTCAATAATTCATCAACTAATCCAAATAATCTGGATAAAAGCAATTGCAAATGTACCCTTTCCAACAATATGTACAGTGATCATCGGTGTGTTTATCTTTTGGCATATAGTACCAATAATTCATCTTCTCCATCCTGGGCGGGGCGTCGGCAGCCGGATAGCCTTCATTTTTGAGTGAATTCCCTAAATAGGATTAAAAAGTGGAAAAATTGCACATATAGGAGTACATTTTTTAAATTCCCTTAATAGGACTATTTATGTGTGTTTGGACAAATATACCCTTGTAACTTGTGAAATGTTTTAATTAATAATAAAATCATAAAAAAATTAATAAAAATCGAAAAAAATACTAAAAATCGTAAAAAAAAAATAATAGAAAATTAATAAAAATATTTTTTTAAAAAAAATAAAAAAAATATTTTTTAAAAAAAAATTTAAAAAAAAATAAAAAAAATCATAAAATTAAAAAAAAACACATTACCACCCCTGCCACCCCCAACACCACCATCTCCCATTACCGGACAAAAATATGCCAACATTTTAAATAATGCCATAATGATGGCATAATCAATGAAAATGTTGGCATATTGAAGAGTAATTATGCCATCTTTTTGGCATTTTTCAGAAAAATATGGCATTTTTTTACCAAAAGTGGAAGAAATTTCACCAATCGGAGGTGGTGGTGCTGGGAGGCGGCGGGAGGCGGTGAGAAAGGTATCCATAATTTTTTTCATTTTTTATGAGTTTTTACTATTTTTTATTATTTTTTTAAAAAAATTAAAAAAATAAAAAATAAAATTTTTTATTTTATAAATGTTTTATAATTTTTTTTTTAATTTTTTTACGTTTTTTAAATATTTTTTTACGTTTTTTGTGATTTTATTATGAATTAAAGCATTTCATTATGAATTAATACTCTTAGGGGTATTTAGGGTAGAAAATCAATGTTTAGTCCTATTTAGGGAATTTTAAAAATAGTAGTCCTATTTGTGCTTTTTAGGAACTTTTTAGTCCTATTTAGGACAATTTCTGTTCATTTTTTTGAGTAAAAAATAAACATTAGAATAAATTAGAGAAGCTGATTTCACAAAACATGCATGCATGATGTGCACCACGTATTTTCCACACAGGAACTAATAGGACGAAAGTGCCTTTGCTCGTTTTTAAGCAAACCCGCCATCAGGTACGTACACTTGCTAGCTTGATGAAAAAATAAAATTGAGTTGTGGGTTTGATAGTATGTCTTGTAACCCTATAAGGACGGCACCCAGGTTTAGAAGGGAAAAAAATCCAGCGGCACAAAAAACGACTATGTAATGGGCTGGGAATTCGTACTCCACAGCAGCAGAAACTCTAGGCATCTGCCAATAGGGTTACTATACAACACAATTTTATAGCCTTGTCTCACATATTTGTAAAATTGTGACTTTTTTTTAGTAATACTGACATCATTTGTGGTTTTGTGACACTTTTGGCAACATTGAAATATTGTGACATTCTAATGACATTGTGTCATTGTTTTCATATTGTGGTGTTTTCCCTATATTTTGATAATGTTCACATTATTAATGTGATATTGTATATTTTGATATCGTTTAATGTGAGAGTTTTTGACATTATGACCTGAAATTAACTTATGACGGTAATGTTAGGTGATTTTAAAATCTTTGGGGTCATGGCTTATATGTTTAGTTATTGTTTTAAATTAAATTATTAACAATGTTACATTTTGTCCCAAAAAAACAATGCTACAATGTTTATTATTTTATCATCAATTAAAAAGGTTTTCGAAAATAAATAATGAATCCAAATAATTACTTTCATTTAATGAATCTGCAAAGTAAAATAAAAATAAAAAGCTGGTGTCATTAACAAAATTTCATGGCTTGAGAATTAACAAAGATCAGATTTCATGGCTTCTCGTCATCTCTCTATATAGTACAGCCGGCTGTACGGTGTCATCCGTACAGCCGGTGGCAAACTTGTAATTTTGTTGAAAATCATGGATTCTCTTAAATGAGTATTGAATCAATTTTGATGCGTATCGAGCCTATTCTTTTGAGTATTAGGAGCCTAATGGTGAGCATTAGGGATATCTGCTTCATTCCTCGTACGTATATCACATTCTGTTTTTTTCCGCTTATTAAAGTCTTAAATTATGTCTATAATCAATTTCATTTAATTTCAATGTGTGAATCTAATGAATTATGTTATGTTTAACATGTGCAACCTTTTAAAATGAGCATAAAACAATACCAAATGAGCATACATAATTACAAAATTAGTATCAAAATATTAAAAAAAAAAAACTCAATTGTGTGTGTGCATTCTTTTTGGGCGTTATACTCATTTGGGTTTAACATATAATTCATTTTGAAATATGTATGAATATGACATTTTAAAATGAGTTGCACTAATACCAAATGAATATACATAACTTACAAAATGAGTATAAAAAAGTTCAGAAACTCATTTGTGTATGTTCATTCATTCTGGGCGTTATACTCATTTGTGTTTAACAAAAACTCGTTTTCAATGTGTTCAATATTAATTTGTTGAATTCATTTCTTTTAGGGAGTGTTGAGGTTTATTCCTTCAACCCCCGGGTCCAACACGTAAGCCCAAGGATTTCGAGTGGAGTGTGTGTGAGTATCTAGCCCAACAAGCAAGTGATATGGATCAAGGAGAACGGTAAGCAGCAAGTGATTAGGTATTATTGTCTCTTAATAACTCCCAAATACAATGCTTTCGCTAAGGCTCGTCGGCCGTTCGTCTTACAAGGCAGTAGAAGTGCTGCGAGTAAGGATGCTATAGCTAAAGTGCTAAGAATAGAAAGTTGCTAACCCCTTACAATGAAATAAATGCTTCTATTTATACCAACCAATGGGCAGTTGGCTATACTGACGTGGAAGCCTGTGGATCACTGGTGCCTCAACCACCAAATCTTCAGCATTAAATGCACTTCCCGCCAGAATCTTGGTTTCCCGCCTAACCAGTGGGGACGTTCGTCCGGCTAAGGAGGCAGGTAGCTGGTCCGCCTAACCCTTGGTGATTCTTGCCATGTGAGCTGGATTGCCTCCAGCGGTTATGGCGTGTTATGACGACGTTCGTCATCACTTCGATGGTTTGTGGGCCTGCTTCCTGTTGATACCACAGATGTTCGTCGGGTGGGCCGCTGCGTCTGGGCCACTTCTTCGGACGTTCATCCATACTGAGTAAACGGGCCTGCCCGTATGGCCTGGTGACCTATCCGGACGTTCGTCCGGATGAAGGGGTAAATGGGCCGAACCCCGATCTGGGCCATTAACCCAACAGGGAATATACTCATTTGAGTTTAATATAAAACTCATTTTCAATGTGTTCAATATTAATTTGTGTGAGTTCATTTCTTTTAGGCATATACTCATTTGAGTTTGATATAAAACTCATTTGAGATCAATAGCAGCAATGATTCATCAACAATGAATTAGCCTCCCTTTGTTTCCCAAAATCAGAAGTTCAAACAGCAAAACAACGTCAGAAAAAGAGAAAAAGAAAGAGAGGAAAGAAAGACAGAGGAGTAGAGGTAACTATGCTGGAGCCGGTGCCGCTGCATTTGTGCCGGAGGAGAAGAGGTGAGTGCTGAGAGGCGGCGACAAGCAGCGAACTGAATGAGAAGGAGGTGAATGGCGGTGACGGTAAGCCTGGTGCGAAGTCAGATTGAAGAAGAAAGCGAAATCGAAGAAGTCTGCGGCAGAACTTTGTGCGATGTCGGAGCGTAGAAACCTGGTGCGAAGTTCACATTGAAGAAGCACAGGCCCAATAAAGTCCGGTTGTACCGTGCGCACGGTACAGCCGGCTGTACCATATATTTTACCCCTCTACTCCATATAATCCTTAAATAATGTCCATCAATATGTACAATCATAATACACCGTATTACAACTCTATTTTCTCATTATAGCACAGAAAAAATTGAAAATAAAATCTCAAATATTGTCGGTTCACTCACAATAATCCAAATTATTGATGGGGTTTCTTCAAAAATATTAGGGAAAGTACGGAAAAAGTACTTGTGGTTGGGCCCGTTTTCAGATAGGGTCATGTGTTTCATTCATTATCAAAGTTGTTCATGTGTTTGAATTCCGTTATCACAAAAGGGTCACACCGTTAAAAACTTCTGAAAAAGACCGTTAAAAGTAATTCTGATTTTCAAAATTGCCTGAAAAATTAAAAGAAAAATACCGGAAGGTGCGCCTCAATAAGATGATCGCTAGTTCATCTTTCTTTTTTATTTTCAACCACCCTTGTCACCAGAAAGTCCACCAGAAAAGTGATATTAGCGAAATCATTTTTAAAAAATAATTCAAACAGATCTGAAAAATCCAAAGGCAAAGGTGGTTTGGAAGTAGTCTAGTCTGAATTGGTCTGGTCATGTAAACGTTTGATCTCTGTGTATTTTATAACTGTCCAAGTTTGGTCTGGTCTGGTCTGGTTTGGTCTGATCTGGTTTATGTGTAAAGTTTAATTATCAAATGTCCTAACATTTTAAAAAATGCCCTATGATTAAGGAATGATTAAGGTTTTAGATATACAAGTCAATGAGCTTTTATAAAAAATACTACTAATAAAACTTATTTACACAAATATGAATAATATGTAATTATTAAAATATAGTGTCATAATAACTTAAGTTTAAAAGTTGAACATAAATTACTATGATTCTATTACTACTATAGTCACTAGTCATATTTTTGTAAACGATCTTTATTTTAGTCATAAATATGTAATCATTTCTAATTTCTATTAATAATAACATATTTTATTTAAATGATAGCACCCAACAAATATAATATTTTTCAACAATTGTTGAGTTTCTTGGCATTTCTATAATAATGAGGGAGAAATGGATATATATATATTATATATATATATATATATATATATAAGAGATCAAATGCGAACCGCTTAAAATACTAACCTACAAACTCAATAATATGCAGTACTTTGAACTTCAATATGCAGTACAAATAATGTAAAGATGCACACTGTGAATTTCAATATGCAATACAAATGATATGCAACACTTTGAACTTTAATATGCAGTACAAATAATATGCAATACTTTGAACTTCAATATGCAGTACATATAATGTAAAGATGCACAGTTTGTGATAGTTTGTAGGTTAACATGGGAGGACTAGTTTGCATATGATCTCACCCCTATACATACATACATATATATATATATATATATATATATATATATATATATATATATATATATATATATATGACCTAATAAAATAGGCTAGATTAAGTTAATAATCCCTATTCTTTTACTAAAATATATTGCAGTTTATTAAAAATATGATGAATTCAAATACCAGATATAATCATTCTTAATAATAATAGTAATAAATACTACTTCGATCCATCTCAAATTGATTTGCAAAATCAATTATTATTGATAAGAACAAACAGTTTAATTTTTCAATTAATTAGGATATCATTTTTTTATATTTTAGTTTTAGTATGTAAATTTTAATTACTGAAATTGACTAAAAAATGTTGATTATGTAAATCAATTCTGAAGGAGTAGAAAGTTTAAAGGCAAATGGATGTTTATTACGGAGTATTTTTATACAGATATACCCAATGGCGGCCCTTTTAGGATCGTGTGATCTTCCTTCTGCGTGATGCTGGTTTGCCCTGCAGTTATCATTTCACAAGCTCTGTATGTGGGTGAAATTGATGGTATATATAATTATAAGATCGAGTAAATAGCTTATTATGTGTTGGAAATACTACATCCTCCATTTGGCTTACCAGGGTATATATAATGTGGTGCCCGTTCCTTAATCATGATTGTCCGAGATTTTCGCGAGCAAATTGCCAAAATGTAAACTATTTTCCGTGCTTTACTACGGGTCAACTTTCACATTGAAAAAACGGGGCATTGGAAGACGTCGTATACTCGTCGTCCTTACGTCATGCAAGTAGAGTAGACATGTTTTTAATTGTATTAAAAATTTCAGGTCTTATCTGGTAGGAATTGGTCTAGTCTGGTGTGGTAAATGTCTAATTCATGTGTATTTAATAATTATCGAAGTCTGATCTAGTATGGTCTATTTAAATCTGCTCTAGTCTGGTCTGTTTAAGGTTATATTTGGCACAACAAGTTTGAATTGGAGGCTAAAGTCTAAATTAGGGACTGTTGTATGAACCAAAGATTATTGTCAGAGATCTAAACTTTAAAGTGCTGAAACTGAAATACTAGCTGAATGAAGTAGAACAGTTTTGGCAAAAATAGCTGAAATTGTGATTGAAAAAAATTAAAATTACATTAAAGGGTATAAAATATATTAAGTGAAAACATTTATTATAATATTACGATCCTTGTATAATTATTGTACTCCGTAACAAATATTGGTATATTACGATTGTTGTTTAATTTTTTTAATAGTGATGGGTTTCTAAAAAGAATGATGAAGGATTTGAATAGAGAATAGGGGTGTTTAGAACTGATTTTGGCTGTTGAAGTAGAATTAGAATCAGTTTTCAGAAGTTGGTCCCCCCAACTTCTAAAATAACTGATTGTATGAGTAAATTAGAGCATCAGAATCACTTCTGCACTTTCACCCAAACACTTCTGCTTCTGCTTCTGCTTCTTCACAGGAGCAGAAACAGTTTTAAGAATCAGATCCAAACATCCCCTAGGTCTCAACAGTGGATGACCTAGGGGGGTCCTGGGGGGCAAGTGCTCCCGCTTTCGACCCCAAAATATATATTACTACATACTTAATTATAAAACATTTATAATTAGGTGATGATAAGTAACGTACCCCAGTTACCTTGACAAAAAATGTTCCCGTAAGATTAGCTATACATGATAGTTCTAAATAAAGTGTGCAAGATTAGCTAATTGTGAATATGATATATGTGCATGGGTACTTGAAATCGTATGGTGTGAAATATGTGAATTCCAAGTTATATGTACTTATTGATATATGATGTTAATTGTCAAGTTATTTCTATAAGGTGATGATGATTCTATGAAAGAGCATATCCTAATTGTAATGAGAAATGTAAACAATCATGAAGTTGTGATTGAATGATTTTTTGCAGTTAGACATATTATTGACATTGACATTATACTTTCTTTGAAAAGTGACATTGATAATATTTTTGTGAAGTATAGATTATCTTTGTTTAAAATTAGAGATCAAAGATATGACAAAACTCCTAATTAATATGTGGGATGACCTATATGCCAATGAGGGATCATTGGCAGTGCCTATGGAAAATTTTCTGGAGGCCGAAAACAAAAACAAATAATTTTGGGTGATAAGGTTGAACGAAGACTTTTGCAGGGATAAGGATAATTTAAGCATCAAAGGGTTTTGAGCAATAGGCTGAATAAAAAAGTTAGCCTCAGTAACGTTTGTTAAGCCTTTTATCCAAATAGGGCTACTTACACAATTAATGACAGAAAGTAAGAATTTCCACCCCTTTATGAATTGAATGTGCATGCCAAACATAGTCTAAGTTTGTGTAGAGAGTTTCCACCTTTCTTGGAAGTTGTCAAAAGACATCTCACACCTTCTTGGAAAGAGCTCTCCAACAAATAGGTGTGAGAGAAGATATGGAGATACCTTGGAAGCTTGGATGCAACTTCCTCTTATCTCCAAACTAGTCCTATAAATAGAGTGCTCCATTGTTGTTCATAGTTTCAGTTTAGAAAGTGAGAAAAATGTGTGAAGAGTGAAAATACACTTAGATTAGAAGTGTATTGGTGAGGGTTGGTTTTTTGTAATAGTTGAGTGTGAGAGTTTGCTCCTCCTATTGTAATTCTGTTCTTGATATTGAATAGAATAATTTTCCAAACCCAACAAGTGGTATCAGAGCGAGGTTGAGTTTCCATACACTGTTTTCTCATTTTCACATAAATTTCTATAGGTTAGAAAATCGTGATTTTTTTAAGTCGCTCGGAATCACGATCTGATCATACCGTTAGATTCGTCTCGTCGAGCCGAGAAATCTGGTATTTTTGGGGAATTTTTGGCCACCGGAAGAGGCCGTATGCGCCGTCCAAACGCCGCTTGAAACTGCCTGCATCATCACTGCGTCATCACCCAGTCCAAAGGAAGAAGACGAGCCACGTCAGCGCCGCGTCATCCCACGTCATCGCCACGTCGTGCTGAGTCATCGTCCACGTCATCCGCTTATTCGTCCTCCTGCCGCCACGTCAGCGGCCACGTGGCGCCACATCAGCGCAGTTCCAGCTATTGCCGCGTCATCTGCCTGCTGGTCTGCCCACTGGGCTGCTGCCTGAACCGGACCGAACCGGTTTTTAGTTGTGGAGGCCGATTCACCCATTTTCAGACCAGTTTTGGACGAGGTCAGATCGGTCCCTACCATTTTCGACCATTCCGGATCCAACGGTGAGCTTCGTTTGTCCAAATTACAAGATATACAAGATATATTGAGTGTTTTATTATGGATAAATCATCATCGGACACCATGATTGCACTCACTTCCACAAATTACAATATGTGGAAGCCTCAGATGGAGGATTTGCTAAACTTGAGGGATTTAGCCGATCCTCTTGATAATAATGACGTGAAACCGGATAAAAAGACGGATGAAGAATGGACAAAAATGAATAGAAAAAATGTCGCACAAATTCGGCAGTGGATCGATCATAGTGTGTTCCACCATGTTGCGCAAGAACAAAGTGCTTACACACTATGGGAGAAGCTTGGTAGCATGTATCAAGCAAAAACTGCCCGAAATAAGACGTTACTAATGAGGAGATTAGTAAACCACAAGTTACAAGGAGGTATTTCGGTGTCAGAACACATCAGTCAATTCCAGGATCTTGTGAATCAGTTGAGCACCACCGGATGGGTTCTCAAAGATGAAGAGCAAGCGATACTACTCTTGAGCTCTCTACCTGACAGCTGGGAGACTCTTGTTGTCACTCTCAGCAATTCTGCTCCCAATGGCAAGGTAACTATGCAGATGGTCACAGACGCCCTTATGAACGAAGAAGCCCGAAGAAAAGAAGTCGGGACTGAACAATCATATGCCTTTGTGTCAGAAACCAGCAGACGAGGGGGATGCAGAAATGGAGGAAGAAGTCGAGGTCGAGGTAGAGGCCAAAGTCAAAACAGAGGAAACTCTCAAGTTCGTGGCAGATCACAAGAGAGAGGTATGTCCTTTGAAAACAGTACTTGGTTTGAAGGATATTGCAATTATTGTGGTAATTATGGACACAGAAAAAGAGATTGTAGAAAGTTTCTATGAGAGCAGCCACAGACGAGTCAAAATACTAGCCAAGAAAATGGTGAGACCATGGTTAGTTTGTCATCAGACGAGTGTCTTTTTACACATGGTGAACAAGAATGTTTACACGTAGGTACTCATGATGTTGAGTGGGTGATTGATACAGCCGCATCATTTCACGCCACCCCACACCAGAACTTATTCACATCTTATAAGTCCAGAGACTTTGGAGCTGTGAAGATGGAAAACACCAGTTTCTCAAAGATTGTTGGCATTGGTGATGTGCACATAACAACCAATGTCGGATGCGCACTTGTGTTGAAAGATGTTCGACACGTTTCGGATCTTAGATTGAATCTTATCTCCGGTACAGCTCTGCATCAGCAAGGATATCTTAACAGATTCAAAGAAGGTATGTGGAAGTTATCTAAAGGTTCCTTGATTGTTGCAAGAGGCCATATTTGTGGTACTCTTTATAAAACTCAAGCACAGTTGTGTCATCCAAGTCTCAACGCTGTTGAAGAAGAGATATCACCAAACTCGTGGCACCAGAGGCTAGGCCACTTGAGCGTGAAGGGATTGACAACTCTTGCAAAGAAGGAAGTCATTTCTATGGGCAAAGGTGTTGCCCTAGATCCATGTGAGCACTGTCTATTCGGGAAACAACATAGGGTTTCCTTCAGTTCTACCAGGAAGAACCATACAGAGTTACTCAGTCTTGTCCACTCTGATGTATGTGGACCCATTGAAGAGGAGTCACTTGGAGGAAGCAGATATTTCGTAACATTCATTGATGATGCATCACGAAAGGTATGGGCTTACTGTTTGAAGAGTAAGGATCAAGTGTTTGATCGCTTCAAATTATTTCATACCATGGTAGAAAGAGAAACAGGGAAGAAGCTGAAGTGTCTACGTTCAGACAATGGAGGAGAGTACACTTCCCGAGAGTTCTCAACTTATTGTGCCGCATATGGAATCAGACATGAGAATACGGTTCCACGAACTCCGCAACACAATAGTGTAGCCGAAAGAATGAATCGGGCCATTATGGAGAAAGTTTGTTGCATGCTGAGTATGGCTAAACTACCTAAGCCATTTTGGGGTGAAGCTGTGCTGACAGCTTGTTATCTTATAAACAGGTCACCTTCTGTTCCTTTAAACTTTGAAGTGCCAGAGAAGAAATGGTCAGGAAGAGATGTTTCGTACTCTCACTTGAAAGTGTTCGGGTGTAAGGCATTTGCACATGTGTCCAAGGAGTTGAGACAGAAGCTTGATCTCAAGTCAAACCCATGCATCTTCATCGGCTATGGAGATGAAGAATTCGGATACCGGTTGTGGGATCCCGAAGTGAACAAAGTTGTATGAAGCAGAGATGTTGTATTTCATGAAAATGAGTTTCATGGGTATGCTGCAATAATCCGCCAACAACATACCCAGAAGATGAAGTGCCTATATCATCAAACATTCCTGTCAGCAAAGAGGAGATGCATGATACTACTGAACAAGAGAGTGATGCATGGTTCAGTAGGTGATGATGATACTCACAGTGATGATATTCCTCAGCAGGGGGAGCCTTCATCTGAAGAAGAAGCTGAAGGTATTCATGTTCGACGTTCTATGCGAGACATAGTTCCACAGAGAAAGTATTCCACATCCGAATGGATACTTGTTGCTAGCGAGGGGGAGCCAACGGGCATCGCAGGAATGAGAGAAACAAAGAAAGAGGTGGAGGGGGAGATTTGTAGAGAGTTTCCACCTTCTTTCTTGGAAGTTGCCAAGAGACATCTCACACCTTCTTGGAAAGATCTCTCCAACAAATAGGTGTGGGAGAAGATATGGAGATACCTTGGAAGCTTGGATGCAACTTCCTCTTGTCTCCAAACTAGTCCTATAAATAGAGTGCTCCATTGTTGTTCATAGTATCAGTTTAGAAAGTGAGAAAAATGTGTGAATAGTAAAAATACACTTAGAGTAGAATTGTATTGGTGAGGATTGATTTTTTGTAATAGTTGAGTGTGAGAGTTTGCTCCTCCTATTGTAATTCTGTTCTTAATATTGAATAGAAGAATTTTCCAATCCCAACAGTTTGGTCTAGTATGTTTAACTTTGGTCTAATATGATCTGACATTGAAATAAGTTCAAAGTTAAAATATCCTTAGTAGATTGAATAAATGGATAACATCGTACTTTTGATCCCTCATTATTCCTCCCATTGAAATGTAGTCCCGTGCTTTCAATTTTGTAAATATTATCTCCAATTGTTTGAATTATCACCATTGGTTATGTAACTTTAACACGATAGGGCAGTTAGGGAATTAGGGTTATAACTTCACACAAAATCAACAAGCTACTTACAAAATCAACAAGCATCAACATTTTTTTGTCTCTAAAGTAAGATCACAGATAAAAAATGTCAATAAAAAAATCAATTTTAATAATCAATAAATGTCTGACACAAAAAAAAAAAAGTGGTAAGAGGTAATATGCATGGAGTATATAATTATAAAAGCTTAGGGCATCTCCAATGTGGAGATGCATTGCTCTTAAAATATATTCTCCAACGCAAAGTGTTCTCCAGAGAGGGGTTTGAACATATCACGGATCACTGGAAAAAAATATCGGCCTAGTCAAGCTTACTTGGCAATCATAAAATAAATGGACGGTCTTGCAAGAGGTCCATATACAGACCCCCAGTCTCGGATCAGGATTCTCTTCCTGGCTTTGCAGCCAGTTAAGGTGCCTGGCGAATTACAACCGCAGGATCCAATCTTCCCCTCCCCAATTTCTCCTCATTTGTTGTTGTTGGCCATTGGATTGCGCAAGGCACTTCTGCCGTGCGGCAGCCTCAGTCTCACCTCATTTGGGGTGAAAGTTAACAATGCAAAAGCATAGTTCTTCTTCCTTCTATACCCTAAAATTACAACAGAGAAAAATGTTCCACAAAAGGCTCGATCGGCTTTGAATGCTAAAAGGATCTACAATGAAATGGTAAACCCAATTTATTCTCTTCATGGAAATGATCACTTTTGTTAGATTTTGCATCTAAATTGTGAATAAAATATTAATTTTTTAGAGACACCACACTACTGGAGCATAAAATTGCAAAATCCAAATGAAGAGTTAGTCTCCTCTATCTTCCACATCTTTGACTTGCAGTGCGTACATTGCAGCCCAGGTATACAGATTATTCTTCTAAATATGCTTTTAGTCCCCACAAATAAAGTACATTTTGTTTTACATCCCTACAAAATTATTTTTTTTGTTTTCCATCCCTGAAATGTATTTTCATTTTTTTTGTTTTGGACAAAAAAATGTCCCAACTAAAAGAATTCATCTGATTCTTTGTCATATAATTCAAAAAGTATTTAATTTTATTTTTTAGAAGGTTTTTGAATACATATTTGAAGAACTTGAATAATTAGAAAATATTGATATTATAATTTTAAGTGACACTACCTTCGTACCTTAAAATTTTGCCAAGTTTGATCGACACGGAGAATAATAAAGTAAAAACTATGTGATTGAACTTTGTGTAGAGAAAAGAAAAAACAGAAACCACAAAATAATTGATTAAAAGAGAAACTGACAAATTTTTTGAGACGTCCTAAAAAGGAAATTTGTCAAAGTTTTTAGGGATGAAGGGAGTATAATAGAAATTATAAAAAATGTAGAGACAGGTTACATAGCTTGAAAAAAAAATGAAAGTGTAAGAATATATGGTAAAATGTGAGAAAAGTAAGGAAAATTATGTATGTATAAATGAAATATTTATAAAAATATGAAAGTGGTGCATGTAATAAAATATTTCCATAAAAGTATAGATGGAAATAAGGCTGGACTCGGGCCGGTTCGGGCCCGGCCGGGCCTCGGGCCAGAAAACTGGGGCCCGAGCCCGAACCGCCGGTGGCCGGTTCCGGGCCAAACCGGTCCTATTTTTTTTTTTTTTTTGGTTTCTCCTATTTAACCCCCTACCCCTCCCCCTCAACCCCAAACCACCCCAAACCACCTCAAATGACCCAAAATACCTAATCCAACCCAAAACTTAAAAAAAAATCAAAAAAAAAAAAAAATCCGGCCCGGACCGGGCCCGAACCGGCCGGGCCGGTTCACCTAAAGCAGGGCCCGAGCCCGGACCGCCCATCACCCAGGCCGGGCCAAACCAAACCGCTGGACCCACCGGGCCCCGGGCCGGGCCAAACAGTAACCAGGCCAGGCCGGTTCCGGGTCGGGCCGCCCGGCCCGAGTCCACCCCTAGATGGAAATCTAGTAGAAAAGGATGGGTACTATTTTTTTTGTTTATTTTTGACATTATTAATTAATTATATTGAAACTACTAAAAATGGTCCGACCATAGTTCGAATTATTAAAATTAGATATCCAGTTTTAATAAAAAACCAGATAAAAAACCAGTGACCGGTCACGATAAAAGTAAAATCATATTATTGAGATTATTTTTTTCAATTTTTCTAATATGATATGAGGCAAACTTAGGGAGAAAGACAAAAAAAGGTCAAATGAGACAAACATTGGAGAGCGTAAAAAAATCCTCAAGGCTGAAGCCATCACATATCCAGATATATTAATGCTCAAGCAACCACGCCATGTCAGTCACTGTCTATTTCGTTTCACATATCATCCTCATTCTATCCTCATTTATGGAGAGTGGGGTCTTCTATAATTACTACTACTTCCTCAATCTCATCATAACTGTTGTTTCGCATTAGAATAGGTATGACCAGGCTATATATAATAAGGATGAAATGACATCTTTTCCTCATTAAGATCCATACCCCAGGAAAATGGGATGTCACCTCTCCACCCATGCTAGCTCAAATCTCATGAAACTTGGGCTCAGTTCTCAGGAACAATTGCTGCAAACAGAAGGTGATTTACATCCTCAGAAACTGACTCCAGGTTCTCATTATCTACAAATTAGAAATTACAAACAATTAATAATGAAATCAAGTGTGCATTTAATCCCAAGACAGGCTGTTAATGATTAAACTGTTAGAATGATCCAATAATCTGTATAGTCCTGATTGATTTTTGTGTAATCTGTACAGCATGTGTACAGCCAATTCCAATAGCTACACATGCTGTCAAGCCAATTCTTGTTCAACCTTAGGTTACATCAACGAGTTCAACCATTTAATAAATATAAGGTGTTAACCCCAGTGGATCAGCTTCTGAAACACCCCATGATGCATTACTACCAGTACCTTTTGTTACATGCTCCATGCGGACCATGCCAATATGCCACACCCATCTCCAATGGCGTAGGCAAGGTGGTATATTGGGATGGGCCGGGGCTTAAGTTGGTCCCCTAGCCACATCCCTGCCTATCTCGCTCAGCAATAGTGCTACACTAATACTAAGGTATTGTTTGGCTCAAAAGTGGCTAGCAAAGGGATTAGCAATCTCTTCTATATATACTTTAGGCTAAATATTGGAAAATTGGGAATAAAACACTCTCCACGGGACCACGTCTTGACATCTTCGTTTTGATCTGAAAGTTTGGGATTAGGAAGGGCCACACATTAAGTACTTATGAGTATCATCAATGACCCAAATATTGGTTTCTCAGCAAAGTTAAGGAAAAAATTCTAAACAAAAGATAACTGGGTCCAATTTTAATTATAAGGAACTTGGATTAGAGAATGTGCTAAATAATTCCAAGGTAACAGAGGTATACGCTCGCTACTTCATTCAGCTCTTTAATTGGACTTGCACACATAAGAACTATGGACTTGACATCAGTTACAAGAAAAACAGGTTTTATCCCTCAAGGAAATGTAAGATGCACTCTTTCAAGCCTTAAGGTGATGAAAACATAAACAAAGAAAACATTTACGAAACATTGAGTGTTCATGACTACTGTACCTGCCCCAGCTTTTACATGAGTCGTCCATTCATCAATAATCTACATACCAATATGTTATATGTTAGGAAGTAAGCATCAGCCAGTTAAAAAGGCATAAAATATTACAAGAGCTTGAGAGAACTACCACTTCCCTCAAATAATAGATAAAAGATGGCATTGTTAAATACTTAAGGTTACAAGGTAAAAATATGTGGCCAGGCCAAGGAATACCAAGGAAAAAGCATCTGGTCCAGGGCATAAGATCTTAGAAACCTCGCCACTATTAATGAATATTGGTTGCTTGCTGGCAAATGTTGCAAGTTCTCTAAGCACCATTTGGAAAATAGGCAACCTTGAACCTTGTAAGTTGTGACTAAACTCTAGACCAAGAAACTACACAATGTTTAACAGCTCTTAGGTTGAGATGTAAACACAGTAAATTTCATTAGGGGTAAAATATATTGTTTCTTTGCCACTAAAAATATACTCCCTCCGGTTCTAAATAAACTTCTCACTTTCCTTTTTGGGACGGTCCAAAATAAACTTCACACTTCCTTATTTCCTTATTTGGCAAAGATATCTACATCAAAACAGTGCTAAACAGTGCCAAACAGTGTCTCAACAGTGCCAAACAGTGTCTCAACAGTGCCAAACAGTGCCAAACAGTGTCTCGACAGTGTACTCTACAGTAAAGTCAACTTTATTTCCTTAATAACTGTGAAGTCAAACACTGAAGTTTAAAAAGAACCGGAGGGAGTACTATGTATGATTTTTTGTTTAGTTCACTACAAGGTTATATTTTGTTATTCATTCATGTAATGATGTAATTGAAGAGGTTTTCTTTTTAATCCATTTCCATCAACCTCCGATTGAAGAAAAAAAACAAATGGGTATATAGAACTCCAGGACAGAGGCTAAAAGTAAAACAATGTATATTACGAGGATGAATAACAAAGACGGAGTAAAATACAAGAACTGAAGAACCTAAAACAGAAAATGTTAACTTTTGCAAGGAAGACAAACATATTTAAGCTTTTCATGTATTTCTTCTATGCACAGCGTCGGTAAAAAAGGCACATGATTTGGCACTTTCCATAGCAGTAAATTGTTGAGGATAAGTAGATTATTAACTGCTCAAAAAGACTTGACAGAACAACACTCAACCACTTTGAAAATTTTTTTGACATGCCAATAGCACAAGTTCTTGAAACGGAGATATTCTGCTTGACAATACATGAAAAGTCATTTATTTTGGGAGATATTAGGTGAACCTTGGTTCTTGAATAAAACATAACCTAAAAAGGATAATGATGCAATAGCCTTATTACCTGGTTAAAATTAGCAAATGCTGGATCATTATTGTCATCAGTGACAGGTAAACCTGCATGAGCTTGAAGTTTCTGTAGCAATGATCGATTCCAAACTAAGGTTGCCCTGGCTTTGTCAATTAAATCCTGTTGGCATCACCAGTAGGGGAAGTTTTAATTTTATTTTAGCACAATGATGTCAATTTAAAATATTGTGAAACTGCTTTTACTTCAGTAAATAAAACAAAAGTAAAGAGGATACAATTGAACATTTGATGACCGATCTTTATTGTCATTAACTTATTATTACAGAGTACTATGTATTGTTATTTTATGGAAAGCACAGTATCAATGACAAACCACTCAATATGGCCCTACAACCCCTACTGATCAATATAGAATCACATACTCATAATGCACTATTGACCGAACATCAAAATGAAACAAGAGTGAAACTTTTTGGCTTTCTGCACTTGGAAAAACACGTAGCAATGGAACATACATGCTATAAAAGATGAATGCCAATTTAAAACAGATTGAATTCCCAAAGCAGAAGTAAAACATACTCATAGTTCAAAAATATGAGTAAATGTTTAAAATTTAATATTTCCTAAATAGGAATAATAATTTGTGATTGAACAAATACACCCTAGGAGGGGTTGAATCCTGGTCACCAAACTACAGCCACCACTAGTCGCCGGACCGCTGCCAGACCAAGCGGTCGTTGAACTGCCACCACCACAAGAGGTCGCCGGACCGTTGAATCCTGCCCTAGTTATGTGGTGGGAACTGGGGGGGGGGGGGGGGAGTAATTATGTTAAGGCTATAAATATAATGTTTAATCCTATTTTGGGAATATAAAACATGGACTCCTATTTAGGAATTTTAACCATGTTTTAGTCTGATTTAGGCAATTTATCTTAAAAATATTATACTACAGAACTTATTATATCTGATGTCAACGATATATTCAGATTATTTTTTATCTTTTTCACTTTATACATCTCTGAACAAGAGAGGACTATTTGATAATTAAGTATCACTTGTAATTATTGTAGTATTTACAAATGCGTGGATACTTGAACTGCATTCTTTATAAGCTGCACTATAAATTTTGCACTACCCACATACTCTAACTTGACCAAATGTCATTTATTATATACATTAAGAAGTTCATTTTTTTAAACCATTGTTAGATGTACCTCAATGTAAACGTTCGAATATGATTCTTTTTATTTGTTAACACTAATTAGCAAGTAAATATATGAATGGTCAAAGTGTGTTGTCAAAAGTGAAAGTCAAAGTGTTCAGAGAAAATACAAAAGAACGAAGTATATGTGTACGATGTCAATGACTCAGTCTCAACTAATCATTCCTCTTTATTCGCAATCAAATTAAGGACAAAATTAAACGCAGGCAGTTTTTTATGTTTCATCAATTGACCAACTTCAACCTCAAAAAAATATTGGCTTAGTAGAAATGCTAGATCGAAACCTGCTTGGCAGCGAGAACCTCGCGACACTTCTCTTGTATGGACCCCAATTCGAGTTGTATTTTGTTGATCCGTGACACAAGCTTCATGGGATTCGTCTGAAAAGAAGAGGTTCACATTTAGCAAACAAATCCAGGCCGAAGAAGACAGTAATTCATCCAGCATTTTAGGAAAGCATCGGGATTGAATCCAGACTTTGTCAGAGTAGACTTGCTGGAACTCCTTCTCGAGCTTGAAGGAGACAAGATTAAGGTCGTGATGTGCTTTGGAGAAGAGGGCGACCAAACCATCTACTGCTTGGTGATGATAATCATGGGAATGCCCCATCTATCTCGTCTCTCTAACTGGTGTGGGTCAAGGAGTGTAGTTTGTACTTTGTAGAATAAAAACCCGAAACGCATTTCACTTTAAATATATAAAAACCCTATTTAATCGGATATTTGATTTTTAAAAATATTCACGGGTTAAAGCAGTGTTTGCGGTTGCTTTAAAAAAGCGTTTTTTAGCTTTTGGCTTAAAAAAAGCTAAAAAGAGTGTTTTCAAATGACAGTTTCTGCTTAAATTAATCACTTAAAAGCTAAAAGATGGAAGCAGGTGGAAGGGTGCTTTAAACTGCTTTTCACTTTTTCTATTACACAAAAAGTACTTATTTTATCAAATATTACCAACTTTTACTTTTTCAGAATCACTTTTTTCTCAAACACTACCAACTTTTACTATTAATCATTTTTCCCAAAATCACTTTAAAAAATCATTTTTTTAAAGTTGAAGCAATTGCAAACACTCCCTAAATATGTTTGAACCCGCACCTAATGGGTAAGGTTTCGGAATTAAAATATCAAACTCGATAGTACCCGACCCGGTCGAAGTTCATTTTACTATTATTATGCTACAACGTTTTCTTGGATAATTTCAATTTAAGACTAATGTGCTCTATCTAGGACTTTATGATATTAGAATTATAATTAAACATTTATCATTTTGACTAGGTGATTATTATATATTTATGTTTCCTTCTAAATGAACTTCATTTACGGAAAGATGTTTTAATACTTCCTTTGCAAATGATGGAAAATGGAATCATATATGGTTGCCCGCCTAGAGCGCCTAGTTGCCCACTTAGAGCACCTAATCGACCGCCTAGGCCGTCTAGATTCGCTCAACATTACTTTACTTTTAAATTTTAATGGAAAATCACATTTTTAGTCCCTAAAATAGTCACCATATTGAAATGTCAGACCCGTATTAATAAGATTGTAAATGACACCCCTTAATTATTCAAATTGTTGTAAACCTCGCCCACATTGTACATTTCACCTCCCAAATGAACACATTTATAGCAATTTGGACAATTGAAGGGTAACATTTACAAACTGGGGAACACGGGTTTGTCATTTCAATATGGTGACCATTTCAGGGACTAGAAGTGCGATTTTCCCTAATTTTAATTTTCTAAGCGTTATACGTACTTTAACTTTAGCCATGTATAAAAGAAATGAAGTTTTAAATTAAGATAAACCTATATATACCTAAATTTTAACATTATTTATAATTATAACATAATGAAGTTAACTGGTTAGCTATCATATACTACGTACTACGTATGATTAAATGTGATAATTATATCATTCATGTTTGTTAATGTATATGTATATATATGTACTTTATACACACAAAAATACAATATTACTTATCATATTTGTGCAAAAATATAGATGAAAATACAATTTCTATGCCGCCGACTAGTCCCCTACTAGGCGCCAGCCTAGCCGCCTAGGCGCTGGGTTGGCGCCAGACTAGCGCCTAGCGCCTTTTAGAACATTGCTCGTCATTATAAACTTATAGTTACTAATGACATATTATAGACTTATAGTTACTAATAATGACATAATATGCAAGATTGATTGATGTTACCATAACTAATTAGTTGACTTTACAACTCAAAATAAAAAAGTTACTTGACCAGAAGCAACCACTCAATATATGAAGAACTCCAGCTCTACACACCACAATCTAACCTCATTTTCTTGTAATTACTTTAAATAGACAACTTCAAGCATATAACCATCTCTTCATATTTTGAACATCTTGAAAAAGAAAAGCAACTATGAACAGATGAGCTCAAGAGTCAAGACACAGACCCATATCCACCACTTGGGAGGGTCACAATCTTCTGTGTGTCCTTATGAAGTTAGTTGTATTCATTGCAATCGCAGTGGAGCAGGCATATATTCCGGCCAAGCACAGCGATATTGAAAACAAGAAGGCAGCCTTCCACTGTCTTCCAGATGCCAGAATTGCCAAAGCGGTGGAGACGAGGGCAAAAGCAGAAAACACGTTCTTCCACATCCCAAAACTTTTAACCACATCCCTGCATTCCTTGCAGTGTATAACGTGCCGGAAGTATCTATTGGCAAGATTCGGAGCATGCATTGTTCCAATTCCGCCCTTTGCTGGCTGAGAAGCCGAGAGGTTAGCAAGGAAACCCACAGGAGCATGCTCTACGACAGCCGGCACTTCGGGGGGCAAAACAGTCGTATGCCCGAAATAATAAGGCATCCCATGCCCGGCTTTGTCCATCCACTTCCTATACTCAAGCACCCAAGTGTCTGAGGACCTCAAGTTCATGTAGAGCTCCTTGGTCGGAACCTTTTCTTTCATCAGGGTTTCATTTTGTGATGACAGGAAACCCATGTCTTGTTCAAAAACCTTACTTGCATTCTGATGAAAGAACCAATTGGGGAGTAATTTTAGCACACCTCTGATTTCCTTTGTGCTTCCGAACCTCACGATGAGCATTGATTTCCCCTGGCCAGATGGTCTGCAAAGAAAGAGACCGGAAAAGTAGTGCTTTGCCCCATTTTCTTCAATGATTTCCCTGTTGTTCTGAAGAACACACGGCGCTTCGAACCGTAAAAAGTTTGGCTCGTAGTTAGGTTTCCCTTGATCCCTTTCCCGGCCCCACCACCCAGCGAATCCCCGTCCAGTCCTTTCAGTTACCTCGAAAAAGAGTGGTCCAGCTTCTTCTCTCTTTGCGGTGAAATCCGTTCTGTCATGTGATATAGGGATGTGGGCAGGATCCATGAGGTTCTCAAGAAGGATAGAGTGGTCATATGGGAGTTCATGCGTTGTGGACACGTCCCGTAAGCCGGGCCTATTGAAGTTTTGGAACCAAGGGATTTTTGCAGGGTCCGGTGGCGTTTTGTGGGACATCCATATCCATACAACTCCCTGTGAGTCTCTTATTTCATAGGGCTTGGCACAAGCAGACCTTGGGATTTTTGCATCTTTCAGCAACTGCAAACATGAAAATCGGTCCCTATTTAAAATGTCACATGTATGAGGAACAACTTTTTTATATATTTAGTAATACCCAATTCTAATTCCTTATCATATTGTTATTCCTTAATACATTGAGATTCACTTTCCCATTTAAAGACAAATATGTGTCCTATATAAACTTCTACATCCTCTATTTTATCATTAATACAATAATTATAGTTTTTGAGTCTACTATATAACTACATCAAAATTTGCACCATTCAAATCACTGGGGCCTAGGGGGGTGTTGGGATCAAACCTGGGGTATCTTTACACATTTGCCGTCCCCTTCAAACTGCCAGCCATGATATAGACATTCTAGTCTTCCTTCAAACAACTGACCTTCAGAGAGTTTTGCCAACCTGAAGCATTATGGTGCGCATTTAATCATTAATATTGGAAGGACTGGTCTCTCCTAGGAGTCGCCAGTCTTGCATAACACCTTAGGTCATCTCAAGCAAATGTAAAAACCACATTCCGATCTATAAGGTTTTGGTTATTCCATCCTAAAATTTCTCTTCAAAGAAAAACTAGTCTAAGACTTCTATGTTGCTCGTCATCATCATCATTACCCCAGTGCCGCAAAGGCTCCCACCTACGGTGGGGTAAGGGGGGGTCGGATGTACGAAGTCTTACCCCTGTACTAAAGCATAGAGAGACAGTTTCCGAATGACCCGTAGTGAAAAACGCGTTGAAAATTGCATAGACTGATTGTTTCCGCAAAGGCTCCTCTTTCTATGTTGGTGCGTATTTTCTTAAAATCAGTGTCAAGTGAGGTGACTTAAGAGGATATGCAGTTGATAAGAGAAATGCCATATTTAAAGAGGATAAACTTCTGGTTCATAATTATAACTTATATTGGACACACCATAGAGCTGCTGTTTTGACAAAGTGATAAAACTTGTTAAAGATTTAAACTTCGGTGAGTAAGTTTGTGAACGGCTGAAATTCACAGTCAACACAGTTAATCCAGATATGCCTCTAGCAAAAGGAAATATATCAATAGATGCAACTTTCCTTGCATTCAAGACCTAACTGCGACAGTTCTGGACCATAATGGACCATTCCATTCAGGAATGCCCTCCCAGGGCAGGGACTATAATGAGGGGGCATTTAGAACATCATTCAAAGTGTCATAGACACATAGCATGTCTCGGAACTGACCTATATTATACCGTGAAAAGTGTGACTTTTTCAAATTTTCAGATGTTATCTATATCTAGATAAGGGAAGTCAAACGAGCAAGAAGAGTAACACACATGCAATCTAAAACTCAATAAGCTCGTAAGCTGAACCATCACTTCCCACTTTTCACTGCTCATTTTGGACTTCTCCACTTAAAAAGAGGTGCTTGTTGCTTTCAACTCGAGTAAATTCTAAATAAGGTAAGATAATTCTCAAATATGTGTGTCAATCCTCCTGCTCTTATAGTCTTATTGATAGGAATCGGGCTTAGGCTATGTTTGGTATGCAAAAGTCAGTAGCTTCTAGCTTCTCAATTATTAAAAAAGTTCCTAAAAGACCCTAGTTGTGTGTTTGGCACAGTAACTTTTCTAAAAAGTTCGGATCTTTTCTTGAACGCTAGCCAACGTAGCGTTGAATAAGAAAGACCTTTTCTTGTTTCTGCCTTTCCTCTAATAACCCTGCGCGCCCCTTTTTCTTCTTTCTGCCTTTCCTTGAATAACTGCAGTTCTTCTCCAACTTCATTCAACACTTCTCCAACTTCATTCAACAGTGCACCCCAAGTCTGCAAGTTTTTCTTTCAAGAGTGCTCTCTCCAAGCAGGTATGTTCAATCTTCTTCCTATTCTATATTTTTTTAAACCGTTTCATCTATATCTTCTCTTAGCGAATGTTTCTTGATTTATTTATAGTTTTGATTAACAATTCATAACCAAAATCTGTGTAATATTCTGTATAAATCTGGTAAAATTTGTCCTCAAAATTTGTGTTAACTTTGACTTTAATTTTTTAAATCTCTATTACTCCGTATATTTTTAGGAATTGAAATATATTTCTTGATTTTATTCTTGATATTTGTTATTATCAACAAATACCTTGTCTATTTGAACTTTTATTGAATATGATTTGTGCCTAGTAATTTTACTGGTTTGTTGTTTTCATTGGGATTTTCCATCATTTGCAATGGAGCCAAAGATTCATTATTTTTTGGCTTGAGAATATGATGGAATAAAGCAAAATGGCTCACCAAACTGTCTGCGTTTCTTTGATATGAAGCAGCATTCAGTCCATGCAATTTTGGACGCGATTTTCATTATGGGTCATCCGGAAACAATCTCTCTGTGCTTTAGTATAGGGGTAAGACTGCGTACGTCCGACCCCCTTACCCCACCGTAGGTGGGAGCAGTTGCGGCACTGGGGTAAATGACGATTGATATATTGATTGTTGTTTTCATTGGGAATTTTATCTGTTTTTTTCAAGTCCATGGTAGATTTTTGTGCTGTGTTTTGTTACTCCCTGTTTTTTTTCATATTTATTGTTTTTATGGGAGTTTTTCTGTTTTTTTGTTCAAAGTCATTACAAGTTTTGTTTATTCATTGTAGTGCAGGTTTCATTGGGTTTGCTTGTATGTTTTATGCTCTGTTTTTAGTTTCAGATTTGTTTTCAATTTTTGTATACGCATCAGCTAACTTCAATTTTAGTAAAGCAGGTGTTGAGCTGCTTTTTTTTTTGGGTAAATCATGATCACCTTTTGGAGATATAATGTTTACTTCTCCAGATGACCTACTTCGGTTTTTTATTTTTATTTTTATTAATGTTATTTTATAAACCACGAAGTTTAAGAAACCTAAAAATCATAATTTTTTAACTAAAAAAATATCCTACATTTTCATATATTATTTTAAATTGAAATTAGTTATGTGCATGTATTTTATTTTCTCAATAATTAATTATAATATTTGTTCATACCCTTAATTGAAATTTTATAATTTCAGCTACTTACAACGGCTGATTCTGCCAAACATGGCTATTTAAAACAGACACCCTTTATGAAACAGCCACGGTCTTTTCCGTCTGCAAGCTTTTCAACTCAAAAAAGCTAACAGTTACTAAAAAGCATAAAAAAGATCTTTTCGGCTTGTCAGACCAAACATAGCCTTAATAGACTAGTTGGTTAATAGTGTTTTACTCCCTCCGTCCCTTAAAACTTTGCCAACTTTCTTTTTATGGATGTCCCATTAACTTTGACACTTTCCCTATTAAGTAAAAACCTCTGCACAAATTTCAACCACACAGTTTTTACTTTAATAATCCTTGTGCCGGTCAAACTTGGCAAAGTTTTAAGGGACGGAGATAGTATGTTATTAGCTATTAACTAATTCGGTTGTAATGAATAGCTATAAATAGAACAAGGCTAGAAGTAAAGAGGTGGCTGTTTTAGACTTTGGATCTTGGGACTGGGAAGATTGAGATTAATCTCTCTTTGGGGCTTCGGCCATGTTTCTTGTTCATCATCAATAAAGTTGTGCAGTTGTTCTTGATATCTTTTCTGTGAATTTTCTGTAATTCTGGATATCCCTATCACTTATATTACCATTTTCTCAGTTTCCTACTACAGAGCTTATGATTCCATTTTCCATGAATCTAATCCAAATTCTAATTTAACTTAGATTCCCTGCGTGATACTCTTCTTGCTCAAGTCTTGATAGAATTCAATGATTACAGTTGGGGTCACTGGAGTTTCAACTCAACTAGAGGTCAAAATGTGGCAGAAATTCGGGATCACTCAACTGGGTCAAATTGAATTAAATCAATTAGCTAGCTCAGTTCGAAGTTCTATAAATTCATATTTTTCTTTTCATCCAATTCACTTGTCCAAGAACTCTACAAAAGAAACTCGTGAAGTAACCTCATACTTCCTACATAAAGCTCAAATAAAGAAGCAAACTTTCCAAGTAATGGAAAACTTAACATATTTCTTGAAATATAAAATGTTCCCAAAATAGGATTAATTCACTTTTAAAAGAAAATTTCAACTGATTTTACTCATTTTCTTAAAACTAAACAAGTCCTATTTTGAAAACAAAACATAATTAGTCTGGTGAGTCACACACCTATGGGGGCATCGATCTTGAAAGCATCTAAGCACTCCACTGCCATCACGGTACAAAACCACCTGTTTATCAAACACAGTTAAGCCGAGAGGGGCATCATCAGGCACATTCTTCGTCAGATACAGAGGGTACCACTCCTCCGTCCAGTCATACCTCGCCACCTCTTCTTCATCTCTAGATTCTTCTGAAGTGGGACCCAGCACCGCCACTCTATCATCACCTTCACCAACACTAACTCCTCCGCCCCCAGATTTCTCTGCAAACGCAAACTTCTTCTTCAGTGCTTTGTGGCAATGGTGAAAGGGAGCTGTGTGCGGGTGCAGAGAGGATGGATTTGGGAGTTTTAGGGTTGGGCAGGTCTGAGATGTGTGGGGAGGTTTGGGAAGATAAAGATCAATGGCGGAAAATGGCTGCAGCAAAGCCATTTTTACTTTTGGCAGGCCAGGAGAGTGTGTGGGAATGAACTAGGACTGCTGTCTAAAGGTCGGCTCACTTGGGAGCCACACATACTGGATTACTGGGAAAGTGGGAAACTATTGTAGAAGATTTGGGAAATTGCAATGTCTTGAAAAATCAAGTGAATAGAGATGAGTAACCTTGCAAGAATAAAAGTCTCTCAATCTCTAATGCCGACTAGAACAAAATGATGAAAGGGTCAATAAAGTATATCAATTTGGATGAGGTGCAGTAAAAAAAAAATACTATATTGCATTTTGTTGGGTTTATGTCCAATCAGAGGATCGGTCCATTAATCCTTTCTTCGGACAAGTAAAGACGAACGTCTCCATGGACCACGGGGAACCAAGTATCGAGGCCCAGGGCCTGGGGGACAAACGTCACCACTACCTAGCCCGCAGCTCTAAGAGGTTCTAGCCCAGGGTGGATCAACATATTCTATTTAAGGTCTAGACGACGCATGACCCATAACCCTTCGTAGTATTGCGAAGAGCAGACCCCGTCTCAAGGGGCGCTCGTCTCCACAATTGGGCGGGAAACCAAGATTATTGGCGGGAAGCGCATTTAATGCTGAAGGTTTGGTGGTTGGGACTTCAGCCATCCACAGCCTCCCACGTCAGCACATTCAACTACTCCTTGGTAGTATAAGTAGCCGCATTTATTTCCTTGTAAAGGGTTGGGAACTTACTCGCCTTACCTTTCTAGCTTACTTCCAGTTCATAGCTTATTACTCTCAGCTCTTCTACTCGAGTGTGAGACAAACAGCCGCAGACCTTAGCATAATGCAGTGTAAAGGGGAGTTATTAGATCTGAATAACACTCAGCCCACCACTGCATACATTTCTTAGTTCATCTTATTTGCTTGCATTTCATACTTACACACTCCCTCCACTCGAGATCCTTGGGCTTACGTGTTGGACCCGGGGGTTGAAGGAATAAACCTCAACACATTTGATCTTTTTAAGTGCACAAATTTAGAATTTTAGTGTTAATTGAGTACATTTGTTAGATTAACACGTTAATATAACGAAGTTGACTAATAGAATGTTGAGTAAGAAGGGGTAATGGACCAAGATTGTGACGCTGACCTTCACGAAGTCGACCAAAAAGAGAAAATCAACCTTCGGAGATCGACCTGCATGGGCGTCGGGCAGCAGGGGTGCATCGATAGTCGACCTGCAGGAGACTGACATCGACCTATTAGCGTTAAAGTCGAATCAATTACATAAAATACAATTCTAAATAATTCTAATTTTCAAATATTTGGTTGTAATATCGTTTCAAAAATAATATTTGGTTGTAATATCATTACCCCATAATATAATTATAGTTCTGATTTTTCTTCTTTTGGGATATCTTTGAGACTTTTGATTACACTTTTTTTATTTGTTCCAGCTTGTGCGTGATTTATTTAGATCAATTTGGTAATTTGGTTTTGATTTCTTCTTTGCAGAAAAAACCGATAAATCAAAGGTCAATAAAATAATCGAAACGATGATATCAACGTTGTGTCTGTAGTCCAACGGTTAGGATAATTGCCTTCCAAGCAATAGACCCGGGTTTGACTCCCAAGAGACCCATTTTATAATTTGGCACATCATTTGTTTAAATGCCCCTTTAGCTTTTTAATATTTGTTTTTTCATATTCTTACCCCCCCTCCCGATTTTTCGTATTATTAATGGGTACCTAATTGACATCTCATATAAAGCCTTTGAGATCTGCCCCATTTGAGTCTCCATGTTCTGCATCCTTGCCTCAATCATTTGCATCCTTGAGTCTGCTCTCAGTTGATTTTGTGCTAATTGTTTGAGTGTTTCTTCCAAGCTATAAAATCTTTGCTCAGTCTCTTTTCTAAAGCTCCCTTGCGCCGGTTGAGGTGCTTGTTGTTGGCCTTGAGGTGCCTGGGGCTGATTAAAATTTCTAGACTGCTGCTGATTTCCTTGCCCGTAATTCCCTTGTTGTTGTTGTCCATAGGGCTGATTGTAGTAGCCCTGTCGCTGATAATACATCGCATCCACTTGCTCTACTCTAGGGGCTGCCGAGTGTGCCATCATAGTGCATTCATCCCAGCAGACCCATTTTATAATTTGGCACATCATTTGTTTAAATGCCCCTTTAGCTTTTTAATATTTGTTTTTTCATATTCTTACCCCCCTCCCGATTTTTCGTATTATTATTAATGGGTACCTAATTGACATCTCAGATAAAGCCTTTGAGATCTGCCCCATATGAGTCTCCATGTTCTGCATCCTTACCTCAATCATTTGATCCTTGAGTCTGCTCTCAGTTGATTTTGTGCTAATTGTTTGAGTGTTTCTTCCAAGCTATAAAATCTTTGCTCTTGAGTCTCCATGTTCTGCATCCTTGCCTCAATCATTTGCATCCTTGAGTCTACTCTCAGTTGATTTTGTGCTAATTGTTTGAGTGTTTCTTCCAAGCTATAAAATCTTTGCTCAGTCTCTTTTCTAAAGCTCCCTTGCGCCGGTTGAGGTGCTTGTTGTTGGCCTTGAGGTGCCTGTGGCTGATTAAAATTTCTAGATTGCTGCTGCTGATTTCCTTGCCCGTAATTCCCTTGTTGTTGTTGTTGTTGTCCATAGGGCTGATTGTAGTAGCCCGTCGCTGATAATACATCGCATCCACTTGCTCTACTCCAGGGGATGCCGAGTGTGCCATCATAGTGCATTCATGCGGCGAATGGAGTCTCCCACACATAGTAAGTACAAGAGGGACTAATCAGAACGGGGGCTACCATATGAACACTGGGCACCAAGCGAGCAAGATCCGTCTTTCTCTGATTATCTTCCACACTGGTAGCAAGCTTCTGAATCATACTAGTCAAAGCATCTACCCTCGCAGAAAGGGCAGAATTATCACTGATCTCGTACAAGCCCGGGGCCTTCTAGTGAGGTGTGTCCCGAGAGCTGTACCATGAAGTAGGGCTGGATCCAAAAAACCGAAAACCGAAAACCGAATCAAATTAAATGGAACCGTAGCCAAATAAAACCGAACTGCTAAGAAACCGAAACCGAATGTAAAAAACCGAACCGAACCGAAGTTGTTTGGTTCGGTTTTGGTTTTTACCCTTCAAAACCGAACCGAACCGAACTATTTAAAATATGAAATTGATATGTTAATTGTTAAATATTAATTCTAATTAATCTTAAATCATCAATAGTCTTTGGTTTTCTTGTGTTAGAGAAATAATGTTTGTATTATGTTTAATTTAATTTAATTTATAAATTCATTTACATATTCATTGTCTGTAATAGTGTAGCTATATTGAATGATGATACTATGTGTTTACTAGTTATTAGTAATAATTAAATTTTATTTTTAGATAACTTAAAGATTTTGTATTGAAAAAACAATAAATATTCATCTCAACTATATCACATATAACGTATATATTCATGAACTTTTTTCAAACTACTCACAAACAAATTAAATCAATAATATATACAGTTTTATCTATCTCGCATACTCATATAACTCAAGACATATTTATCTCTTCTCATTTTTATTTTATTTGTTATTGTATTGTGCTTGCATTCTTTATGTAATATGTTTGATCCCTCTAAGTATTATATCAATTTTAAATCAAGTGAAATTTTTTTGGTAAAAAACCGAAAAAACCGAAACCGAACCGAAACAAACTGAACCAATCAAACCGTGGTTCCAAGTTTTGGAGTGTAAAACCGAACCGAAACCGAACCGAACTTTTTACTTCGATTCTATATTTGGTTTTAGGTCAAAACCGAACCGCAAGAACCGAACCCACCCCTACCATGAAGCGTTATTAGAAACAATCTTCTCCACTAATTCTTCCGCCACCTCAGATGGTAATTGAGGAAAAGCTCCTCCACCCGAAGCATTCAGCATCATCTTCCCTTCATTGTTGATACCGCTATAGAAGCAAAATAGAATCTCACTATCGGTCATCTTGCCTTGAGGGCAAGCTCTTCTCAACACTTTAAATCTCTTCTATGCCTCATCTAATGTCTCCAATGAGCCTTGCTTGAAGTCTTGCAGCTGCTTCTTCAGCTTTATCGCCTTTGATGTTGGAAAGTATTCTTTAATGAAGGCCTTATGCAGCTGATCCCAAGTCTGATTGTGGTGATGTGGATTGCTATCCAACCACCTTTGCATCATCCCTCAATGAGAAAGGGAATAATAGCATCCGTACCTGATTGTCATCTAGCCCAAGGATCTTGAAAGTTTGGCACATCCTCAAGAATTTTGTAATGTGTGCCACTGGATCTTCTGTAGGGCTCCCTCCAAACTGATTATTGGATACCATGTTAATCACTGCTGGGTTGATCTCATAGTGGGGTGTAGTAATTCTCTGCACTTGAATGTTGTCATACTCTGTGATGTCCGGAGTGAGGAAATCTGCAATGCTCTCTCCCTGATAGAGCGGATTATCATGCGGTACATAGTGTTGGAATGGAGGAGCCTGTTGTCTCTGCTGAAAAACTAGTTGTGGTCTAATAGGATGTGGATGAACTATTTTGGCTGTGGTTGGGGCTGCACTTGAGGCTGATGATACTGCTGATACAGGTTTTGTCTCGGCTGAAAGACCGGAATGTTTTGCCCTATCCCTTGCATCCCATAAGTTTGGGTTTGAAAAGTGTTTTCGGGAGCAATAGAGGTATTTTGGAAGAGCTGATAGAGTGGTGGAAGATTTAATTGTGGAGTGGACTGATTTTGAGGAAAGAACGGGTTGCGGGAATTCTGAAATCCCGAGTAATTTCTAGGTGAATTTTCTCGTGAAGACTGGGGAGAGGTATTGACATAAAAATCCAGGTTACCAGAAGTGGTTTGGACCTCAGACGTCCCAGCTATTCTAGATGATGTTGGTTGATCCATGGTTGTTTTCTTTTCTCTAAGAGCCTTGCGAATCTGTCTGGCGAGCTTCTCAATCTCAGGATTAAGAGGGACTAGTGATTCTCCCTTCTTAGAGCGAGTTTGCATAAACAGATCTGACCTGCAAAGTTACCAGACAAAAATCCTACGAAAAACTAAAACAAGTCGCTGATATTAATTAACCCTTAAATCCGACACTGTCCCCGGCAACGACGCCAAAAACTGATGTGTGTTTTCTCGCACTTAAAATATGATGTAGTAAAGTAGTTGAAGTACGAGTATCGTCTCCACAGGGACGGACA